GTGGCTTGGCGCTTAAGTGCACACGCTCCGCTACTGGCGGCCCGGGTTTGGATCTCGTGCGCCCACCGACGCACCGCTTCTCTGGCCATGCTGAGGCCGTGTCCCACATACAGCAACTAGAAAGATGTGCAGCTGTCACATACAACTGTCAACTGGGCCTTTGGGGAACAAAAAAAAAGGAGGAGAATTGGCAATAGATGTTAGCTCAGAGCTGGTCTTCCTCAGCAAAAAGAGGAGGATTAGCACGGATGTTAGCTCAGGGCTGATCTCCCTCACAAAAAAAAAAAAAGAAGAAAAAAAAAAAGATAGGGATGGTGATTTAGGAAATTTGCATTTAGAATGTGTTTTGAAGACAGCCTGCTAAGAGACAAAGTTTAAGAACCATCATCATCATCTTTGTTCCTTCCCCAATGAATAAAGACACAACATCTCTTTAGATAACATTCTCTTTAGACAGATCCTTATTTACCTAAAGGTAGTCATTACGAATTCTGATTAGTATCTAAAGTCAGGATTTTGTTTTGGAAGCGTACAGAAATCTACTTCAATATACGGCTCCTAAGGTTTTTCTTCTGGTGATTGCTAGCTTGTTTCACGTGACCTACAACCAAGTTACTACACATGTAAGACTAGGAATTCCCTGTGTGACCTTAAATTGATGGGTCCAATGCCAGACAAAATTCTCCAGGAAACAATGTGTGGCAGAGATATGACTAGGTTGTGAGAGGTCTCTACCTTCCCACAATTCTATATTTGAGATCTTTAGGAGAGAAAATCAGCAAGCCCCTAAACATTCTTCCAATTAATTTCCAGCTATAGTTAAAATACCTACAAAGAAAATCTCTTCTGAGGCAGAAGGACAACTTATTCTAAGAACTTTCAGGTTTAAATGGTAAGCACATCATCAGAATAAATCTTAACTATTATTATGTGTTCTTCCTATTTAAATAAGTAGGTACCAAAAATTGGAAGAAATGTTTTAAGAAATCAGACATAAAGGATTATCAATGATCCATTCTACTGTGTTCCAGGAAAGGGCTGGTAAAGATCAACTGAGGCATATGAGAATCTTTTTAGGAACGAGACTAAACCTGTATTGTGAATTCAGCTGAATCTTTTGAAGCTAGAGAGGTAAACAGGTATCTGTCCCCAGAGTTAATTCTGACTGACCAGAAATACAGACGGGAAAAAATAAAGCAAGATTACAAAAATTACACTCATCATCTTCCCCCAGTGTTCCTCGCCTCTAGGAACGGCACCACTGTCCACTGCTGCCCAAGCCAGGGACGCGGGAACTACCTTCAACTCTTCTCGCTCCTTCACTCCCATATCCTTCCAACCACCAAGACCCGGCAACTTGCCTTCTAAACATTGCTTGCAACTCCTCTGTCACCTATACTGCAGTGACCTGAGTTCAGGCTGCCATAATTCCTCACCTGGCTGGCTGCAACCACATCTAATCGGTTTCCTAGCAATAGCTTCATCTCCCTTCAATCTGTTCTCTAGTCTCTAGCTGTAGTGGTCTTTCTATAATCCTCCGCTGCCTTCGCTCTGCCTCAAAACAAACTCTGAATTCCTTTTCATTGCTTTTAAGGCCTTCCCTTGTCTGGCTCCTGCTTACTCCTCAATCTAATCACTAAATTCCCCCATTTCTCTCCCAGTTCCCAAACAGAATACTCAAACAGTTCCATTCTCTCTAATCAGGCTAGAAACATAAAAGGCTGCTGCTGGTCAGACTAGGACAGTTTGCCTAGCTGGTCTTTGTTACCAGTGTGAGATGTGATGCCATCTGCTGCTACCACAAAAGGAGGAGCAGGAAGTACTAGGAGACTGAATAGTCTTTCGCTCCTCCTGAGCTGGCTGCCTCCAGCTGCTGATCCGCTACCGTGATGAGAGCTATGCTCTTCTACTAACAGCACAGTCTAAGAGAAGTCAATCTTATTTTGTAAATAATCAACTCCCAGGCTAAAGGGAAAAAATAGTGTTTGGCTTTGGAAGCATTTCTGTACTCATCTTTGAAAAGGAGTGTATCAACGGTGAGGGAATTTCAAGGGAACAAATAAAGACAGTGTCAGACTGCACAAGAACACGCTGCCACGTTATCCAATACAGTTTATGAGAAAGGGGAAGCCTCTGGGCTGGTTAGAGAAGACTGGCTTCCATTTTTTCTAGGGATAGAGTGATATTTAGATCTAGACTCAGCCAAGTTTATAAAGTACCTGCTAGGCACTGGGTACATACTGGACTCTCTCAGAACTCATAGTGAGCTGTGTATTAGTATCCCCCACCATTTCAGGGAAGGGGGGCTAATTAATATGCCCAGGTTACAGAGCAAAGAAACGAATGACTACAACTCCAAACCAAAGTCTGCTGATCCAAGCTTAGCTCCTGGTTAGCTATATCCCTAAATTTAACTGTATTTGAATATAAAAGGTATCTGCTGGTGAAGGGGAGACTGAACCTCCTTTTCATCCCCACTCGGAGTGGGAGGTTGCAAAGGGGAGGAGTGATGACGGCTACAAAGGAATAAAAACTCAACCAAATACACTGGGGTTTTCTCACCCTGCAGATGATATGTCAGCTGCTGAAAAACGGAACAGAGGCAGAACTGTGGAGATTTCAAGAAGGTGGACTCAACAAAAGCAAGACAGAACAACAACAGCCACGACTACAACAGGAGGACTTCAGAACAAAGCACAGGAGGACAGAGGTTCTGAAGCTCACTGTGAAGTTAGAGGAAAGAGGAGCAGTTAAGGAGCCACTCAGGGCTACTCAGGGCCTATCGTTGCCAGTTCACTCCAGCTGGAGACCAGGCGAATGGGCTAATGCCATTTGAATATGACAGCGCACAGTGGCACGTTCTAAAGAGGTCAGGAAACTTTTAGCTAATGACACTACAAGAGGAAAGACCAGGCACAGTGCTGGATGCTTTTATATATCTTAAGACATGATTTTTACAACCTGGTAAGGCAGGTATAACTATCCCTGTGAAATTAAAACTCAGAAAAATTAGGTAACTGCCCAAGTCACAGTAGTTAAGTAGGAATTTGTACCCTAGTCTCTGGGGCTCACAAACTCCTCCTCTTGGCCTGGGCTGCCTTCATCACAGCCCACCATCACCATAAACCAGCGAAGCCAGAGCATAAGGTAAGTAAACCCATAGAATGTGAAGAGATGCACATCAGTTGCCACAATTTCTGCAACCTCAGTGCAGGTTACACACATTCTGCTACTCCGGACTTCCACAATCCAATGAGGCATCTTTAGAAGGGAAAGGGAAGCGAGCGGTACACACTCAGGGAAACCAGCACAGGGCACTCCACAGCCACAAGGAAATCCGTGCTGTGGGTTCTGTGAGGTGTCACCCACTGCCCTCTGCTGGCGACTGGAAAGAACGAGCGGAAAGAGGACCAAAGATTTCATTTCAAGTTGAAGTGTTAAGAGATGATGACGATGAATTTTTAAAAATCTTTTATTAGAGAAAAATTCAAACTTATAAAAGAATAGTATAATACGTCCCCATGTATCTTCATCCAGCTTCAACAGTGTACCAACTCATGGCGAATCTGTGTCATCTACCCCTTACCCACTGCCCTCCCCATGTTTTATTTTGAAGAAAATCTCAGATATCCTGTCATTTCATCTGTAAATATTTTAGTATATATTCCTAAAAGAAAATGAATTTTTAACAAACCCTCTAACACATTATCACAACTAAAAACAAATCATCCATCAATCTAATAATTCCTTATAGCACCGGAAGCCAAAAATAAAAAAAAACCAAAACATTCAGCCTCATCCAAGGAGGATTATGGAAAGGGAGCTGCAATCAAGCAAAACACAGATTAATAGCCTGAACCACCCAAGCAAACAAAAGCACCTCATCTTCAGCCTTGACAGGAAAAACCAGCTGGAACATAGATTAAATAAATATCTTAATTGGAAATGCAAATCTATGCACCCGAGTGGCAGAAAATTCTTCAGCTGAGTAGATCTGGCACATGTGCTACTAAATCTTTGTTGACTCTTTGGCTGAATCTTTCCAAAGATTCAGGAGGGCAACACTGTGTCCTTGGGGCCAGATGCTTGGCTATGTATCCAGGCAGCTGGGGTGAGACGCTAAGAGGTGTGACCACACCAGCTCCCTGGCATCTCAACCCAGGGATCAGAATCAGGCTGAAAGCTCACTCCCTTCTTTGGGTTACCTCTGTGCCATGTATCCCCCCGTACTGTGAATTTCTATGTACACACCTGTCTCCCCTTCTGGCTTATGAACTCCTTGAAGGCAGGATAGTGTCATGTTCACTTTGCATCCTGTGTGGCTAGGACATGAGAGACACTCGGTAGATGGTTACATGAAGAAAGACTGAACCGGTAAAGTCCATCATTTGACAAAACCAAGTGTTGGAAAGAATGAGGGGAGACCATAACTCTCGTTAACTGCTAGTGGACTATAAATCGATATAACCCCTTTGGAGGCCAATTTGGCAATATCCAAAGATATGTTCAAATGCTTAAGCCCATAAAACAAGAACAGGATGTTTTAAAATTAAAAAAAAAGGCATTTCAGAGAAAAAAAGAGGAAACAAGAAGAGTTCCTGGAAATTAAAAATATAATAGCAGAAATAAAAACTCAATAGAAGGGTTGGAAGCTACAGTTGAGAAAATCTCCCAGAAAGCAAAATAAAAGGACAGAGAGATCAAAAATAGGGACAAAAGAAAGAAAACCAAAGGACTATTCTAGGAAGTCCAATGTCTGAATAAAAGAGGTTTCAGAAAGAGAAGAGAGAAAACAGATGGGAAGAAAGTGAAGAAAGAATAAAAGAACAGTTTTATAATCTTACATTCTGAGTTTCCAAACGGAAAGGGCAATGAGTAGCCAGTGTAACAGATAAAGACAGACTCACATCACAGTAGGTCACTGAGAAATTTCAGACCCCTGGAGGAAAATGAAGACCTAACAGACTTCTGGAAAGAACATATACAAAGGATTAAGAATCGGGATGGCTTTGGACTTCGACAGCAATCCTGGAAGTGAGAAGATGATCGGAGCAATGATATCAAAATTCTAAAGGAACATGATTTCTCATCTATATCCAGCCTAAGTCTCAATTATGCATGAGGGTAGACTAAAGATTTTTTTTGCTGAGGAAGATTAGCCCTGAGCTAACATCTGTGCCCATCTTCCTCTATTTTGTATGTGGGATGCTGCCACAGCATGCCTTGATGAGCGATGCATAGGTCCATGCCCGGGATGCGAACCTGTGAACTCTGGGCCACCGAAGTGGAGCGTGAGAACTTAACCTCTACGCCACTGGGCCTGCCCCGACATATTTTTAGATATACATGGTCTCCAAATTTGCCTCCCATGTACCCTTCCTCAGGAAATTACTAGATGATGTACTTTATCAAAATGAGTGTGCACCATGAAAGTAAAAGACACGAGATACGGGAAACAGGATCCCTCACACGAGCCAGCTGAAGACAGTCTCTGTGGGCAAAGAAAGCTGTGCAGGGAACGAAAAGTGTATTATGTGGCTCACCTATGGATCACATTAACACAGTCATACAACGTCAGCTCTGAAGACTGACCTTACCAGAGCTCCAGACAACTACATCAGGAGGACAGAGGGACGGAGAGTGAGTATGTGTGATGAGGTGGGTGAAGAGCTGAATTCTAACCTGCTGGAGTGAGGAGTCAACAGATGATGCCTAAAACTGAAAAGGAGAGAGGCAACAACATAAGCTTATTATTTAGAGAACTGGCACTGTAAACAAAAATAACCAACTGAGAGAGCTGGCAGCAGCTGTCTCTGGAGAGGCGAAACGGCGGAAAGAGCACGGTACTGCTGTGTTTGCAATGATACGCATGTGTAAGTTTCATAAATATAAAAACACGAGGGAAAAACCTGTACACAAGGAGTTACTCAGAAAACTTAGAGGGACAGCAAAGCCTTCCAACAGTCCCTAACCTGGTTTGACTTTTTCAGATGACCAGATCACAGTGCTGTTCTGCCTGTCTGCATGTTATTGCTGTGTCCTAGTTTATGACCATCAAAATTCAGCATTTCACAAGTGCTTGCAGAATACAGACAAGCTCTACATTTTAACCAGGAGCGCTGACGCCACTCAATCCAGCAGGTTCAGTAAGCATGAATTTTCTCAAGTTTTTACCAGCAGTGAAGATGCCTTTGGTGCTCTGTCTCATACTGGAGGGTCTCACGATTGCTGAAAGCCCTGAGAGGAAAAACCAAAAAGGATTGTAAAAAAGCCAGATGTTAGTCATCTTCACACTTTTAAAATCTGAAATCTATTCTTCCCAGTTATCCAATAAAGCCAGCAAATCTATCTCTGTCCTGGTGTTATAGAGTGACAGTGAAAATGGGATCAGGATTGAGGATCAGGAAACCGGAGTTGGCAGCCATGTCACCAACCAGCCATGTGAGCACAAATGACTGACCCCCTCTGGGCCCGGGCCTCCTCACCTTAAAACAAGTAGGTGGGTTAGGTGACCCTCAAAGGTCATTTTATGACGTTAAATTTGCTTAAGGCTGCCAGTTCTCAATTCCAAGATGTGAAAAGATAAAAAAACAAATGTTTCTGCCTGGAAGAAAAACTTTCATTCTGAAAACACATATAGAGGACTCCTCAGTGAGCAGCAACAGTACAACGCTCCATGCCCTCAGAAAGGCAGTGAGATCACACAGTGACCAGAATCATGTTAAAGTGAAAAGCAAACAAAGGATGTCTCCACTCTATCTTCAGCATCAGTACCTGGTGACCTCTGACAACCTGGGGCAGGTCCTGAGGGAGTGCATGTGGAGTCTGCCTATTGGGGATCGTGTTCATCACTGTGAATCACCTCTAGCACGGTGGCTTGCACCCTGGAGGAGCTCAGTAAATATTTACTCCATAAAACAGCAGAATGTACTCATCTGAGGGAGGAAGTCATTTTCAATTTCATCATTATTTCTTTATTGACTGACCTCGTAAATTACCTTTAACACCTCAAAGGGAAGTGGGTTTCTGAAGAGGAGGTTCAGATTTTTTGGTAAATATTAGGGAGGCCTTGGGGATAACGTGTGGAACACAGGCCATGTCACAGGGAACCTGCTGAACACACCATGAGACACACTGAATGGGAGTTGGCTGACCGAAAGCTGTGTTCTTGCTGTTTAAAAGCATTAAAAGTGTCTCTGGTCTCCTTCCTTCTCAGACCACCATGAAGAACACAGACATGCCTTTGAAATAGCTTTTAGAAGTTAGGCTCTTGGAGCCAAAAGAAACATTGTTTCCCCCTTTGACAGTGATTTAGGGCCCAGGAATCCAAAAATAGAAGTACTTTCACCACCCCACTTCAAAGAAGCAAAAATTTATATTTGGAAAAACCCCAGATTGTTAGTGCTTTCTTCTGCCTAGAGGCAATCTATCTCCCGATCTCACTGGGCAAGAAAGAATAAAGAATACGTCTCAGTCACAAAGTCTGTGTTTACCCACAGCCAGCACTTCTTCAACCTCAAATTCATAAACACACCTAGACGCACCACCTCTCCACAGTCAGGATCATGAGCAACTTGTAACAAAGTTTCTTCCACATCTCTGTTTTTTCCAGGAGGGTCCATAATATGATTTATTCGTTGCTGTAAGGATTTGGGCAACGTCATTAGCTGAGTGAATTGTCCTTCTGGGCTTTTATCTATCTAAAGAAGAAAAAAAAAGATGATGTCTACGGAAAGTGCTTTGAATTCTATAAATATTCAAAGACACATGAGTTCTTTTTAAAATCACACAAACAGATGAATTCACACCCTAGACTAGGCAGCATGCTAAAGCGAGTCTCTCCTTTCTGAAACTGAATGCGTAAGTGTTCAGGATTCTAAGTCCCTTCAAAAAAGCCAATTCTTTTCCTATAATATTCCATTTCTACACAAGAAAAGAATAGCAGCCTCTTTTAAGGATCAATTTCTGATTCTCAGTTTTAAAATTTCTATTTGGGGCCGGCCCTGTGGCTTGGCAGTTAAGTGCGCGCGCGCTGCGCTACTGGCGGCCCGGGTTCGGATCCCGGGCGCACACCAACGCACTGCTTCTCTGGCCATGCCGAGGCCGTGTCCCACATACAGCAACTGGAAGGATGTGCAACTATGACATACAACTATCTACTGGGGCTTTGGAGAAAAAAAAAAAAAGGAGAAAGATTGGCAATAGAGGGCCGGCCCTGTGGCTTGGTGGTTAAGTGCGCGCGCTGCGATGCTGGTGGCCCGGGTTCGGATCCCGGGTGCACATCGAGGCACCACTTCTCCGTTCATCCTGAGGCCAAGTCCCGCATACAGCAACTAGAAGGATGTGCAGCTACGACATACAGCTATCCACTGGGGCTTTGGGGGGAAAAAATAAAATAAATAAAATCTTTAAAAAAAAAAAAAAAAAAAAAAAATGGGAAAAAAATTTTAGCCCAGGGCCGGTCTTCCTCAGGAAAAAGAGGAGGATTGGCATGGATGTTAGCTCAGGGCTGATCTTCCTCACAAAATAAATAAATAAATAAAATAAAAATAAAATTTCTATTTGTTTCAAGTCCAGCAGTTAAAGAAAGTGAGGCTGCAGCTAACATTCACTGAAGCCCCAGCAAACCCAGGCACTTGCATTCTCCTTCCCATTTTAAACACAGGGACACTGAGTAACACAGCCAGACCATACAGCCAATAAAAGAGCATGGGATCTAAATCTGTGTCTCCTGCCTTTAGGGCCTTTTACATACCGTGCTGTATTTCATAAACTGCAGAATTAAATTGACGACAAAGACTAATCTTGTTCACTTTTAATCCCCTGGCACATAGTAGGTACTCAAAAAACATTGGTTGAATAAAGGAATGAATAACTCCATCAATAAAACTTAGTTGTCATTATTTCTTAAATAGGAGTAAGTTACACCAGTGGTTTCTGTTCCCAAGGTATTTTAAAATACATCAAGTTGAAAGATAAATATAGAAATTAAACATATATGAAACTACACATCAGCCTCTACATAGAAACCTTTGAATCAAAAGTTAGCCACAGAGCTGAGGCCGCATCTAGCTTCCCTACCTCCCAGTCTAATATACTTTACTTTATGAAACTAAATTTTTGCAAAATCATGTAAACACTGACTGCCTGCCAAGTGGAGAGCCAGTAACACTGCCCTCAACAGCTCATCACATTATTTTCCAAGTAAGAATCTGTCTTGTATTCCTTTAACAAATGTTTAGGTTTTAACTTCAACTAAGAGAATAGTAAGAAAAAAAATTAGATGAATGTATTAAATTTTAGATTCAGATTTTCTAGATATGAGCAACTTTCTTAATAATTCAAATTCACTCATTCTACCACTTTTTTTTCATTCAGCAAATGTTTACTGAGTACATGGCAATGTTTGGATTTTCTAGTTTTATCTATAAAATCTACGCAAAGAAGAAGAAAATGCTATTATTTAGTGGCTCCAATAAGGTGAAAGGTTTTTTTAACCTAAATATTTCATATTTATCATTAAGATGGTTCTAAATTCACAGGATTGGACCTCTACTTAGCTTTGGCTAGATAAATGACAAAAAATGTGATATTTCTGTAAAATATGCTAGAAATGACATTTATGGACTCATATTTCAGGGCCAAGTATTGAGATTAGTCAAAAGGATCTTATCTTTCTGTATGGTTTTACCTGTGAAACTTCCAGGAATTTTAGAGATGCCAAAATGGCTTGAGTAATATGAAGAATTAGAAAATAGTATTTTCCATTGCTTTCTCTTGAGGAAAAGAATGCACTGGAATTTTTGCCTGAAAGCATGTGTTTACTGCTGGTGGGAGTGCAAACTGGTACAGCCACTATGGAAAACAGTATGGAGATTCCTCAAAAAATCAAGGATAGAACTACCATACGATCCAGCTATTCCACTGCTGGGTATTTATCCAAAGAACTTGAAAACACCAATGCGTAAAGATACATGCACCCCTGTGTTCATTGCAGC